TAAATTTGAAACTTTAAATCTTCATTTAACCTAACATAACAAAACAAAACTCAGAATCTCAATGATGTCAATCCTTGTGATGGTAAAAAGTTATTTAAACGTAGTTAAGAGATCGTATAACTTTCTCCCATAGCTAGACGTATCGCCCAAGAACCCAACATATATATTTTAACTTTCTCCTGACTTGGCTTCAAAACCTACTAACTTCAAATTTTCCTTTAAACATAGCTGTGCGCTTCAGAGTCTTTTAGCTTTTGTCTTTTAGCTTGAGAATGATTCCTTAAGATCTTGTTAAATAGGAAAATCAACAGCTTTATAGACAGATCAAATTCTCTTAAAAGCTAATAAATATGAGATTCTAATCATTCAATTTTCCCCAACCCTTCAATTTCCATGATTCAATGAATTAGTCTAAAAAACGTATCAAAACAGAACACAGAACGTTTTCACAAACAAAGATAGTTTCTGTGATGGATTCTCACAAAACAGAGTAATCAAATCCTTTATGTAAGCAAATTCCAACCATGAAAAGAAATCCTAATTGAGCAAGGAATTGGAATCAAACATAAATAAAACCAATTAAACCTAAACAAACTCGATATTTATCTAATACAATACGTAATCAAACCTTTCAATATGAGCTACTTCCAAAACTGAATTAGCGAAGAAAAGAAGAAAAATACACAAAAGTAAAACAAGAACAGGGAGAGAATTATACAATATGACAAAGAATCAACGAAATAGAGATACGAAAATCCTGAAAACAAATCAATTCCAATTATTTGATGTTTGATCAGAGAGCTAAAGAAAACAGTAGAATTACGCAAGACATAAAGATCCTAAGACAACAAGTCAGAGTCTCAACACAGACCTATAAAACCAAAAAGAACACAGAATTTCCTCGAAATTTTAAGACAGAACAGAGAATTTGAAAAACTCAGAGGACTTAAGATCGTAAAACTCAGAGAGACACATAATTAGGCAAAATTTTATCAATTCGAGAATCCAGAGGACTAAGATCGAAAAACCCAAGACTATAGAGACAAATCGATCTGATCTCTTGACATTTCCCAAATTCACTCGAACTGAAAACACACATAGATCTCGGAATAGCCATTTCTCAAATTAACAATCGAAACCAAGAAATGATTTAGATCAAAGCTGAATCACAGAACCTTTTCGAAGAGCAAAATCGTTGGCTAAGCGGCGAAGACGACGACGACACCCTTACTAATCTCTCTGTCTCTCTCTAGCCAACGAAAGTATATATGAAAAATTAATCCGGTTTAATCCGGTTTAATCCGGTTTATCATGTCTAAAATGTGATTTTGGTTTGACGGAGTTTTCGGACAGAACCGGTTTAACACTAAACCCTCCTTATCTTTGGGACCAAGGATCTCTTTGAGGTTGTTGACTTATAAAAAGTAGTTAAATCGGACGGTGTATAACACTCTGAACAATCTAACGGTTGATATGTAACTTTGTTAGGTTGGTGACAATAAAAAGAGAAGAGATTGTTTCACTCCTATCTCTTTCTCCCAGACGGGCCGACCATTAAAAGGAGTCTCTCGCTTTCTCGCACTTCTCAATCCAAAGGCTTACACGGTAGGTAAAACTAAAACCCTTTTTATTTCTTTGTTACACTCTTCTCTTACTCTGATTTCTTTTGTTTCATTTACTCTTCTGTGGGTTTAAGGGTTTTTGTT